TAACGAGTTTATCCCAAAGGTGCTTTCTAGGTTTGCCTACATAAAGGGGAACACCCCGATAGGAGGTGGGGAGGCTTTCCGTTGCACAGCCCAAGTGTTGGGCAAGTCGCTCAAGTTCACTATTATTCATCAGAATGCCCAACATTTTGGTCTTGGACGGATTAACTTTCATTCCTATCAAGAGTTCAAAGTTCCTATGGAAGAGCCAGAGGTTGTCAACCTGAAAAGGATGGGCCTCACAGAAGATGAGAGCATTATCAGCATAGAGGAGATGGGAAAGGATCAGGTCTTCATTGGAGGCCCTGAAATCCGAAAGTAACTATCTATCAAAAAGTCTAGTGAGGGTTTTGGAAAATAGTTCACCAATAAGGGTGAAGAGGAAAGGAGATAGCGGGCTTCCCTGTCTCAGCCCTCTGGCAGCAGGGAAAAATCCTACTAAGGTAACACTGAGGAGGATAGAAAAGGAGGGATTGGATATGCAAGCTTAAATCCATGACCTTCATCTGGTTCCAAATCCCATTCGAGTCTGGATAAGGTCTAAAAGATCCCAGTCCACCCGGTCATAAGCCTTCTCCCAATCCAGTTTGATAATGAGGCCCTCATAGCCAGATAGAGATCTAGAGTGGATGGCTTCATGGGCCGTGAGAGCCCGTTTGCCTATTAGCAACAAAGGCAGATTGGGTTGGGGAAACTAAATTGCTAAGAACCTTTTGGAGGGGAGAAACTAAAACTTTAATGAAAACCTTGTAGGAAATAGTTACTGATTGAATGTCCTCTTCTACATATTTGACAAATGACTCTATTTCCATTTCTATTAAGAGTGCGTAAGAGACCTCAACTAGCACCATAGAAGTTTATGCCACCACGTCCATTCCTGCCACCTCGACCCCCACGACCTATGTTGTTATTTCCCTGAAATTATTAGAATTTTGTGCAATATTGCTGGGAAACACAGTTTGTGCCTCTCTCCGAGAGAACAATGATCCATGTTGTAGCAGCATCGGTTGAAGGTTGGCAAAAGAAGAGAGATAATCCCTTGTCATCAAGGAATTGACAAAAGTTCTATAGACTTCATCCTAACTTCGTAGTATATATTGCAACTTGTCTATATCTTCAACTAACTGCTGAATAATCACAAGTAGATCGCATATTCCCTTTATCTTGGTATAAGATTTAGATACAGACATCTTCCCCTTCTTACAATCTTGAAGTTCAGATTTTAATTGCATGGCACGAGCCTCCAATTCTTGAGAGTAGGACTCATTGCGGGTTATCCAAAGATCATATGTTGCAGGTAGATTCACCACTTGTGCCAAAATTTCTTTAGACAAGGTTGAATTAATCCAGCCTGTAAGATTTTGATATTTAGCGAGCTATTCTTCATTGGCTGGATTGACCACTTTAGCAGTCTCTTTCTTTTTATCTAAATGTGTTCTTTCTAAAACAATGTATTGTGGTGGTGGCCGAGTGGATCCATCCTAATGGCCATAGAGGGAAAAAACAATTCCTTTCCCGACAATAAAATTATCAGATTTAAGTTTGACGGATACATATAGGGGATTTAAGAATGAAAAGGAAAGAGAACTCGATGATCGTGCCATGATGAGGAAAATGGACTCATTATCATTGCACCACATACGAAAAAAAAAAAAAGAATAAGAGGAGGTCCATAGAGAATAAGAGAACCTAGAGATAGACTAAAAGAAAGTATGGAAGGGGGTTGGCATGGATAGCAAGAAATAAAGCAAGGGAGAGAAAAGCAATTAGGGTGGTTTTGGACTAGATTTCAAGAACCGAAAAGGAGAAAGGCAAGAGCAATACTATAGATTTCAAATGAGATCTAGGGCTTTATATTGAATGAAGAGAGAACCAGGATTTTTGTGGCCGAAATATGAGGCGTTGAAAGAAAGAACAATAGCATGAACAATACTATAACATGAACAGTAGGTGCCCCTAATATGGAGGAAATATGAAAAAGAAAGATTAGGGTTTAGGAAGGACGGATGAGAATAATGAACGAGGATAAAGATGAAGAAAGAATATTAGGGTTTAGATGAAGAAGCGATATTACGTAGATTAGAGTTGATCACGGTAAGAGCATATTCAACGTGCTCTGATACCGTGTTAATTTTACATATATTGACAAAATCTTGCACCTGGAACACAACATGAGGAAGACAAAAGAGACAAGACAATGAGGCATGCTAGGCTTTGGCGTGAATAAAAATGGGTTATAGTAACACACCTAGGATAATGAATCCTTATATTAAATGAGTAGTGTTACATTAAGGCAACAGCTTTATGAAAATACCCTTGTACAAATGCATATTTCCAAATACAAGCAAATTTAAACAATATGCACAAAACAAGAAGAATATACATAAAACAAGTCTTTTAACAGTACTATAGTAGTCTAACATTATTTGTATATTTATAGTACAATAGTCTTGTTATATTACTATATTATAGTACTATACGTATTAGTCTTTATTATATTTTTTTAAGGATAGAATTTATTATATTACATTATACTATACTGCATATTATATAGAGAGAGATAGAGTGAGGGGTAGACGAATCCTAGCCATGAAAAAAGGCAATCACGGGAGTGCGTCGTGTAGGACCACGACGCGGGACATAGATAAAGCAACCAACCCTTCATATCAATATAAGGCCTTTAGACACTTACTCTCTATATTATACATAATAGGGTATATGTCTTTGCTATGGTTATAGATAAGTTAACTAGACATCTATAGGACAAGGTACTGTCGTGTAGGTTTTTAGCGCATGATATAGCTTTGATTGATGAGACTAGGGATGTCATCAATGCAAAGATAGAATTTTGGAGGGATGCAAAGTTAGAATTTTGGAGGGAAGCTTTAAAATCTAAAGGTTTTAAAATTAGCCGGACTAAGACAATATATGAAATGCAAGTTTCCTAAAAATAGGAGTAGAAACGAGGAAATTGTTAAGATTGACGACTAAGAAGTACCTAAAAGAGATTATTTTTATGTCTTAGATCGGTAATCCATAAGAATGGAGAGATTGAGGAAGATGTTGCACATAAAATTAGAGCTAGGCGGACGAAATAAAGATGTGCTTCTAGAGTCTTATGTGATCATCACATACCAATGAAACTAAATGGGAAGTTCTACAGAACAGCTGTAAGACCAGTCATGCTTTATGGGAGAATTTTGGGGGGTCAAAGAAACAATATATCTATAGAATGAGTGTAATTGAGAAGATGATGTTTAGATGGATGAGTGGCAAAACAAGAAAGGATAGAATTCGAAATGAATACATTCAAGGGAAATTAGCCAATAGGTGATAAAATAAGGGAAAGTAGACTTAGGTGGTCTGAGCATGTGCAGCATTGACCTAGAACAACACCGGCTAGAAGGGATGATTCGGTTCAAGTAGAAGGCTCTAAAAGGGAAAGGAGAAGGCCTAAAAGGACATGAATGAAACTAGTGAGAAGAGATATAATGACTTATGGTCTGACTAAGGTATGGCTTTTGATAGAGCAAAATGGTAGAGTAGGATTCATGTAGCCAACCCCAAATGGTTGGGGAAATCATAGAATGATGATTGTTTTTGAAAAAGTAAAGCTAGGATGATGATTGTGATATTATATAATACATACACATGTTAAGTGTCTGAGTGTGCGAGCGCGCACGTGCGTGTGTGCATGTTATATACTAGCCACCCCTTCTTTGGGGTGGGCAAGGCACCGCCTAGGTGGCCACCTCCACCTTTATGAACATTGATCTTGCCTTTGACATCACAATATCGTGTCCTAATATCAGGTCTGCAAAAATTTTCCAAACCCAAGAATTGGCCTCCTCCATATTTATTTTTTTTGAAAAGGCCTATCATGTCTATGCCTATCATCTAATTGAAGCACTTATGTCTATGCCTATCATCTAATTGAAGCACTTCTGCTTTCCTATCTCCTTTATGACCAAAGGCAATTTGAACTTTTAATTTCCTCTCATTGGTTGAATTTGCCCTCCCCCTAAAGCATGTCTATCCCTCAGGCACACAATGACTTCATTTTCTCTTCAGCCAAAGGTAAATCAACTACATATTTCAAGCGAGAAAGGCATGAAACCTCATCCCACAGGATTTTATATCTCACATTATCAAGTAATAATCAGAACCACCTTTGGAGAGAGCTCTTGGCTAAACATCAGGCAGCAAAACCACGAGTATCCCGAACTGATAAATTCATTGAACATTATCATAACAAAGTCTTCCTAATTTTGACCAGGTGAGAAGGGACTTACGGCCAAAAAAACTCCAAAAATGCAGGCTTCTAGTCCTTCCACTTACTGTTTTTTCATGGTAAGAACATGCCATATTAAAGTTGGCCCGATACAGCACAGCCAGCACGTTATACTTTATATATTTGTAGTTTGTGTTTGCGCTTACATTTATATTTTACATATGTGGCCCCAACTGATCTGAGGCCCAAGTTTTTAAACCTTGGCAATATATAATCCCCATTCCCATAAATGGTTTGATTAATATAGCTGGCATAACTTGACTTATCCATGTACCACTATTTAAAACATTGTTCTATGCAACTTTGATAGGCTTCTTTGAATGATGTAATTTGTGTGATAGCACACCAAATCACGAGCCAATCGCTGCACTGGACCCAGAAATTTTTGTTTAGAAGAAGCAGACAATTTATATCACATCAAGACTAGGAAAAAGTTTTCATGGTTCATCCCTTGTCTATTGAAAATAAGCAACATAAATTTACTTGATCAAGGCCTCTTTCACAACTAGCCAACAAGAATACACTTCACTCTCAAACAATGAAATGAAACAGCAGATCAATATTTATATATCTAAGAAAATTCTTATAACAAAGGAATGGTCTCTTGGCCTGGGTGCAGGGTTCCAATCCTACCGAGACCACAAGTAAACATTCAACCAAAAGAAAAATACTATTCTTACAACAAGGGAAGTTTAAAGAGAGAAGCTAGAACCTTGTTGGAGAACACCAGTCATCAGTCTGCTTGCTCCTTGAGCATTTAGACTCCCTGATCCATTGTTAGCAGCTAAGTTCACACGTGATGCTAGAGCAGGCAAAGCTAACCCATTACCAGCGCTTATGCCCCTCCCGATGTTTCCCCCACCAATAATGTTGCCTCCTGAGCTGGATATTCTGGGACCTGCATTACCCAAAATTGGGGAGATACCTAACCCAAGGAAAAGCACTTCCGTTAGCAACGGTGGTAGATGTTGGGAAAACCCAAGTAACAGCACCATCGACACTATTTGCGTCACTATTAGAAACATGGACTCCGGCTTGGACTCGCTAGCGTCCCGAACCCGAGTCAGTGGTCTGATTCAGCACAGCCTCGGTAAGAGTAACACAATAGGGTACATGAACAGGTGAGACATAGGCGAGTCCTTAGGTTTCAAACTAGACGCACCACCCTGCTAGGTCTGAGTGATTCAGGCAAGTCCAAGCCCAAGTTACCAAGTTCTAAAAAACTGTGATTACCAAAAAAACAAAATTGCAATAACAATAATACCTCCCCTACTCGTAACTCCGGAATGTCCATGCAAACCGCCATGTGAAAGCTGCACATGCAACTTAAAAGAACTTACAATGAAGTAGTTTTCAGATAATAATTACGCCAACAAACAGTTACAATAAACCATTAAGACATTCGTTATTCAACAACGCCATATTATCAGGAAATACCTGAGACAGTGCTACAGGAACGCTGTTTGATGTAAATCGACCACTAGAAAGGCCTCCTGAAGGCTGCTGAACACCATTTGCCGGAACACCACCTAGAGCTGAGTTGCGGGAAGTCAGTGAGCCTGGAACGTTTGGCAGGTTGAAGTTCCCGTGAATGTTGTGCAGTCCTTGTATGGTTCCTATTAACAAGCACTTCTTCTTACACAAGAATCCCATTCAAGCAAGCAAATTTCAATTTCTAAAACACTAGAATGTTCCTCACCAGAATGATGGAAAACAGGAGCTGAACCTGACTGAGCAGAAAACGAAGACGTAAAAGGTCGGCCTGCACTTGAAGAATCTGGAAGATTTGAAGTTGAGCCACTGATGGTGGACTGTAACCATAGGTTCCCATTAGAAGTAACAAAAGTAAAACAGATAAGCCATAGCACTTCCATAATCATGAATATTTACAAAGCACCGCAATAAGTCCATTTAACCAACAGATTTACTAGGATTGATATTGTAGCTTGTTGAAGAAAAAAATTAGTTGCAGGAAGAAAGTAGGAATTAAGAAAATGGAAATGAGTTGTCAAATTCTTAATTTTCTTAATTCCATCCAAAAAGCAAAGTAATTTCGACAAAGTAGAATGCACGAGAAGTTGCACCATTAAGACGAAAAAATGAGAACACGTGGAGATAAGGATTTGGGACAACAAGAAGAACAATTTCCATGTCCCAGAGAAGTCAACATATTGTTTGAAAATGAAGCCTAAAAATACCTGAAATACATGACAAATCATATACATCGATGGTGGTGCCCGAATAAAAAAGTGTGAACAAACATCTGCTATCAGGTATGGAAGGCCTAAACTATACTAGAAGAAGTATATGATGGTGCTTTCTTTACCCGCATGGAGTGGTTCCAAGGTTCCAAAAAATGTTGGCCGCTCCTAGTTGCCCTGGGGTTCTAGGGTGCCCAGCTCCTAGGTGGCTACCCAAAACCTCAAGCACTCTAGAGCACTAGATATACACATATGCATATATGTGATGTCCAAATGCACATATATGCAGATATGTGTCAAATTTGTATATTTATGCATTCATATGTATTTAACTATTCTTTTGTATTCAAATATATGTGCAACAGTGCAAGAACGTTGAAACACGTTCAAATTATTGAAAAATGATACACTTGGACCCTAAAAGTCTTTTATTAACCTCACTTAGACCCAAAAATTGATTCCAATAAGATATGACAAGGTTTCAGATGATTCTACAAACTTCTTTAGATTTTCCTTGCTTCAAATAAAGAAAATCGCAAAATCGATCGATTTTAGCTGTCTCTAGGGTATAGGAAGAGTTTTCTCACTTTGGGAATGTTAGAATAACTCTGTCCCCCTGTTCATGAGTCAAGATGACCCAAAATGGCCCCCACAAAGAGTCTTTCTCGATCATTTCTTAGGCAGTTCCCGCCTGGGAGGGCCTGCCCAGGCCTAGGTGAGGCGGCCAATGGACACGTGGGCGTCTAGGCGGACGGGCAGGCGGTTTTTTAAAACCTTGAATCGTTCCTCCTTTTTACAGCTAAGAAAATATATACTCCAGAAGGATAAGGAAAACACAGCCAAATGCTTTTGGTGTTTTCATTTGATTGATGCAAAACCACAAACCAAAAGGGTTGTTACAACACGGATAATCCAACCATGGCGAAGATCAACAATGTCATTGCAAAAATTTCTTCTTCTTTTTTTGGTTAAATAATACTCAAGTCATAACAGAGATAATCACAAAAGAGCCCCACAGGGAAAATGGCTCCTACAGTAGCATATAATCCCACAGCCTGAAGCGCTTCTTGGATGCCCAAATTCACCAACCAATTCCCCACATTACTTTGGAATCTAGACACATGATATAATTTTACAAGTCAAAAATTTCTGTAAACATAAAATCCACATAAGGTCGATGTGGAAACAGACCGCTCACTCAGTTAACAAATAAAATTTGAAAGATGGCCCTCCCAAACCCTAAGGGTCCAAAAGAGTCCTATAAGATCCTCACTTCTTCAAATGCTACACAAACTTGGCCCACAAGTGTTTTGAACTCCTAGAGGGCCTGCATAGAGCATTAGAATTCTAACTCACGCTTCTCTAATGATACCCTCAAAGCTTGGCTTGTCTGAACATCCTTGAGTTTTTCATTACAGTTTAGCATGTAAGCACTGTGGATATTGAGATATAGCCCTGAAATTACTCATGAATAATGACTTGGACCCAATAGTACTTCATTTCAAAGTTGTGTCCAAGATATGACTTTGCCAAAATATATTCCTCTAGGAAGTACTGGAGATACAAATTTACAGTGCCAAAGTATATTAATTTCAATAGAGTTTAAGCAATAGACAGAACAAACTCCATGATGCATACGCCTAAGTACATGCATACATATGAACACCCGTTGTCACATAAACATGCACATACATAGATATATGCAGGTGATATGTATATTCAAATCTATATGTTTAGATGTGTATATTTATAAACATTTTATAATGCCGATGAAGAAAGGAAGACAATGCCAAGTGGAGAAAAGGGAGGATTAGAAGGAGACGAGGGTGACTAGCACCATACTCGCTAAAAGAGACATCATAGAGTAGATGAGAGAGTTCATCATAAGCATAGATGCGGGATAAGTGCAGTGCTTATCCATGAAGAATATATATATATAAGAGAAAGATGAGGACGCTAGTGGAGACTAGGCAAAGGAGGGCCATAGAGTGGGCAGAGATGAGGTCGAATGCTTGGGGCCATGACAAGCCACTAAGAAGATGCAGTTATTGTCTTTGGGGTTCAATGTTTAAAGCAAATGGGAATAACCAAGACTACCTCATGTTTAAATGTTGAAGCTGATATAAGCTATTTAGGCAGTATGAGCTCAAGGTGGAAAACCCTAAACCCATGCAAAGGGAGAAGTCATGCCAGTGACATATGAATTTGTATAATTTTGCACCTTAACAATTTATCAGATTGAGAACGCAAATAGGATGGAAGTTGAGGGATTGTCACACAAAGATGTATGGGGGAGATTTTTAGCTTGTTGATATGCTTGACCAGAATAGTTCTTTTTGTTCTTCTTTTTGAAATGAATACATGATGGACAGAGGGTTTGCATCCCGCATAATGCATTTCAGAAACACATCACAATTAAGTTACATTTAGGAACAGAAGTGCACAGTGTTATCCTGTATTGGCAGAAAGTCCTTTGTCAGGGGGCAGAAATGATTTAATAAAAAATTTCCAAAAAAAAGATTATAAGTAGAATAATCAATACTTATTTGCCTCTCAGAAAGTACATATGACCAATTGACCATCTGTCTAAAATATTTAGAGACTTACATGTTGCCCAGTTCTTACATATCAGAAGCTGTGAAATTAAAATTAACAGGGAAAAAATTGTTAAACCTCAATCTTTATGTAGTGAAAATCTGAGGTATGTGCATCCCAAACAAGCCAACTACCAGAAAGGAAAATGAGAACATGAGAGCGATGGTAGACCTAGGGGGCAGGTCATAAGAGGATTAGTCAAACTCCTCCACCCTCCCCCTCGAAAAAAGGGGAAATTTACAGGAAACTCCTATTTAATTTTAGATAGTTAAAAATAGTCCCATATATTTTCTATTTTACGCTCAAGTCCCAACTTTTATGTTTTTTGCTTCCCAAATTACCCAAGGTTCAAATATTCAATGTCCAAACATGGATCTTTTTTTTCTTTTCTTTCTTTTTCTCAGTTAAAGATCAGTTCGGACATTGGATTTCAAAACCAAACTTTTGTAATTGCGTGGGTTTGGACATCCAGTGACCACGTCTTTCACTAAGGAAGAAGACCAAGGGGACACATTCAGATATTCAATGTCCAAACCCACCCACTAGTAAATTTTTTTGAGTAAACATCAGTGCACACATTAGATATCTGAACCAGCCCAATCACAAATAAAATTAGTTCGGACATCCAACGTCCAAACTATTCTTCAATTAAAAAAATAGACATACCCAGCTTGGACATTGAATGTACGAATTAGGGCTAATTTGGGTATAAAAAGAAAAATGAAAAAAGATATCTTCAAATTAGCAAAAATAAGAGAGAAAAAGTGTAGGTATCTAAACCATATTAAATGCATTAAAAGTGAAGATTAAAGGGTATTGGTAAAGGATGATGAGGTCAACGAAAGGTGGATAATCTATTTTCAAAAATGATGAACAAAATGGGAACATAGTGGTAGAAGGACTGTTGGTACAAGTGACAGCGGAAGTCATAAATACAATCATAGGATTAGGATGTCAAATGTGTAAGAAGCTTTGAAAATGATGAAGATAGGAAAGGCTTTAGGACCAGATGGTATACCGATAGAGGTTTGAAAGTGTATGGGGGAAATTGGCATTGACTGGTTGACAAAGTTGTTCAACAAGGTGTTGAGAACAATGAAAATACCAAACGAATGGAGAAAAATTAATGTGATACCTATTTACAAGAACAAAAGTGACACAGAATTGGGCAAACTATCGAGGGATCAAGCTTATGAGCCATACTATGAAACTTTGAGAAAGAGTCATTGAGCAACGACTAAGGCATGAAACAAGTGTATCTGAAAACCAATTTGGTTTTATGCCAAGAAGGTCAACAACTTAGACATCTGATTGAGAAGTTTAGGGTGAAGGGAAAAGACCTCCACATGATCTTTATTGATCTAGAGAAAGCTTACGATAGAGTATCTCGAGATTTGATTTGGCGAGTGTTGGAAAAAAAAGGTATTTCTAGACACTACATCGACGTGGTGAGAGATATGTACGATGGAGCAGTTACTAGTGTGCAAACAATTAGTGGAGAAACGAGTGAATTTCAGTGACAATAAGTCTACAACAAGGGTCAGCATTGAGCCCGTACCTCTGTCTTAGTTATGGATGACTTAACTAGGCTCCTACAGGATGAGGTACCGTGGTGCATGTTGTTCGTAGATGATATAGTTTTGATTGATGAGACCCAAAACAGCGTCAACACAAAGTTAGAACTTTGGAAGGATGCTCTAGAATCTACAGGTTTTAAAATTAGTCAAACAAAGACAGAGTATATAAAGTGCAAATTTAGTAATAATAGGAATAGAGACAAGAAAGTAGTTAATATTGACGATCAAGAACTACAAAAAATACTGCACTTTCGATAACTTGGGTCGAGAATCCAATAAAATTGAGAGATTGAGGAAGATATCGTACACATAATTAGAGCTAGGTGGGCGAAGTAGAGATGTGCAACTGCAATTTTATGTGATCGTTGCATATCAATGAGGCTGAAGGGCGGAATGTTAGGCGGAAAAAAAACAATATAACCACAGATAGAGTGTAGCGAAGATGAGGATGTTGAGATGGATGAGTGGCAAGACAAGAAAGCACAGCATTCACAATGAATCTATTCGAGAGAGTTTAGGCGTGGCACCAATAGGCGATAAAATGAGAGAGAGTTGTAACAATCCTAAAATTTCAAAAAAAGAAAAAAAAAGAAAGAAAAAAAAAAAAAAGAAGAAAAAAAAAGAGAAAAGATACTTTTAAATAGGTGGTGGTCTGTTTGAGTATGATGGTCCTTGGGGACCATCACTAGTTTCAAAAGTTTTTACTTGGTTTAAACTTTTGCTTGCTGCTTGCCACGTCCTTTAGTGGACGTGGTTTTCATATGTTAAAAACAGACTCTTAACGCGACACCTCAGGTATGAGGTAGAGCCTAATAAAATAATATAATAATACGTTATAAGAATTTAAATAGGGGAGGTGAGCACTCCCACCCTAGAAAATTTTGAAATCTCTCTCTCTCTGTGGTTGAAACACAGTGAACTCCTCTCTCGAACCGAATTTTTTATCGGAAGCTCCCTCTCAAATATTTGTGGGTAAGTGACATCGTCTTCCTGAAAAATAGTTTGTTTTTAATAAATAGTGATATTTCCGTCTAGGATCTTTATTTTATAAGTTTTGTGTGTAAGTGACCTCATTGTCTCGAAAAATAATCCATTATTTTTAAAAATAAAATAAAATAATTATTTCTGCTTATTATCATGAATTTTAGGCGCGATAAATTTTATGCGCACGTGACCTCATTATCTTGAAAAATAATCTTTTTAATAAAAATTGTGATATTTTATCTATGTTAAAAATTTTGAATGCTGTAAATTAGAAAAATAAATTTATTTATTTTTCTTGTCTATTGTTAGAAATAAATGTGATATTTTAGCTTTTAGTAAAATTGTGATATTTCTTTCTACTGTTTTGAATATTTAAACATTGTAAAATTCATGTGCAAATGACTGCCTTATTATTTAGAAATTGACATTTTTGCAATTGATTATAGTATTGTTGTGAAATGTTTATTTGTGGATTGATATCCCATAAATTGTGATAATTCTGTATTCTTGAATTTCTATAAGAGTTTTTCTATACATATTAAATTGGCAATTATGCTAGAATGCCTTTACAAACTGCTACCTTTCTAAATTTAAGCCCAAAATATTTGATTGATTATTTTTGAAATGTTATAGAGAGTGACTGTTATTAATGGTTTAAGTGAAATTCATATTAATAATTTCAGTGATATGTTGAGTACATGATATTGCTGCTTTCGAATGTTTAAAGAGATTTAGAAATAATTTAAGTATGCAAGTGGACTCATCCGGTTCGTCGGTGAGGTATAAGTGGACCTATCTGGGACGCCGGTAGGGATTAAGTGGACTCATCCGGTACGCCGGTGAGGTATACGTGGACCTGCAGGGATTAAGTGGACCTATCTGGGACGCCGATAGGGATTAAGTGGACCCATTAAGACGACTGATGGGTAGTATAGGTGACCTACTT